TTTGATTTTGCTTTTACTTTGCCCTTAATGAAGAATGTTTTGGAAATAACAAATGAACTTTCTCAGCTTTTACAGAGGAAAGATCAAGATATTGTCAATGCTATGGTACAAGTTAGAGTCTCAAAAGAGAGGTTACAATTGATGAGGGATGATGGTTGGGATGCTCTATTAGATGAAGTCACAAAATTTTGCAATCTACATGATATTGAAATCCCAGAGATGAATGAGATTCGTGTTCTCAAGGGTAGATCAAAGCGTAAATGTCCAAGTGTTACCAATTTGCACCATTGCAGGGTGAGTATATTCTATGAAGTTCTAGATATGCAACTTAGAGAGCTTAATGATCGATTCACTGAAGCAAGCACTGAGTTAATTCTTTGCATGACTTTTCTAAGTTCAAAAAATCATTTTGATGCTTTGAATAAAGAAAAGCTACTTTGTTTTGCTTCATTTTATCCATATGACTTTTCACCCGAGGAGATGAGTGCACTAGATAACCAACTTAGCAATTATTATATGGATGTGTATAGTGACGAAAATTTTGCAAATTTGAAGTCGATAGAAGATCTTGCAAGAGAATTGGTAAAGAGAAAAAAACATTTTGTGTATCAGCTAGTGTATAAAGTTATTAAACTTGCACTTGTTTTGCCTATGGCCACTGCAACAGTTGAAGAGTATTTTCTGCTATGAAGATTGTGAAAAGCCGGCTTCAGAATTGAATGGGAGATCGGTGGATGAATGATTGCTTTATTGCATATATCGAGAAGGATCTCTTTGATACTATTGACAATAAACTTGTTTTGCAACGTTTTTAGAAAATGAGTACTCGCAGAGGAATTTTGTAATATTTTGTTAGGATTTATATTTTGATAATCTTTTATCAAATTAAATATTTTTATGTATAAACTTTCTTGCCCCACCTGTTACTAGGGGCTTGGCTCCACCCTTATCCCAATGGTTAAAATAGGGATGGTTTGTACTACACAACTTCCTCGAGTCAATTTTTGACTTTAGAATATCAAGTATGAGATTAATCATGTCAAGTTACTCTTGAAGTTGTGAATTCGAGCCCAGTCCATAGAGATTAGTTCTTGATAAGGAGAAAAGAAATCTATCATCTTTTGAAGTGGTTACATGGAACAAAAGAATATCTAAGTTATGAAAGGTGATTATTCATTTAAACTTCAAATTTATGCACAAACTTCAGATTCAGACTGGCACGACTTTCGCAAGTAGAAAATTGACTCTACAGAGTCTTAAACAGAAAAATTAAAAAAAAAAAACCAAGAAAAAGAATCAGTAAGGGTTAAAACCTTTATCGCCGTCCCCGGCAACGACAACACTTTTGATGGGTGTCGAGGCTACCAAACATGGGCGAAGGGAAGGGGGGCCAGCCGGTGCGCCGCGCCCCCTCTGTTTTTAATTTTTCTTAGAAGTTATTAATGGTGAGGTTGGAAAATTATATATATTATGATTTTCGCACCCCCTTCGAATTATTTTTAATGATATTTATTACAATTAAAATATTTTTTTGTGAATTTAAAATATATGTAATACGTTGTTATACTTTTTTGTAAAATAAAATTAATATTTTGTTGAGGAATGTATGCAGTTTTTTATTTTTTTTATTTTTTTAGTTTTAAATAACCAAAATATATGTAATACGTTGTTATACTTTTTTGTAAAATAAAATTAATATTTTGTTGAGGAATGTATGCAGTTTTTTATTTTTTTAGTTTCAACTAAATTAATATTTAGTTGAAATGGGTTATTCATTCAAAATTTATTAATAGCAATAACAATAACTTAAATTCAAACCCAAATGAAAAAAAAAAACTAAAATCAACGGTCCCAATTTACAAATTGGCCAGTTGACCCAACTTTCTTCCCCCAAGCCATTTTTTGCTTACATTCGCTAGCAATAATTTTGACAAGTATGAGATTAAAATTTAAGTTTTTTTACTTGTCAATTTTTGAATTTTATTCTACATATCTAATTGATGACTGAATACATGTGTACTCGCAAATATAACTTTTTATTTTTGGTGAAAGATTAATATATATTAATCTTCACAAACTTTTCTCTGTTTACAAACACACATCTATTACATCAAAACTCTCACACAGCAGGCTACCTATCTGTACACTTAGAGACCTAAGTTTTCAATATACCTCTTCTCATTCTGTTTTGGAATTTACAGCACTCTTTTATCCCACAAGCCATCTCCCGTTTCACTTTATCCACCAACCTTGTCTTCACTTATCATATCCCCTCCATGCTGAATCAAGTTTCTGAGATTCCAGACTTGATACATAGCAGCAGCCAACTGCAATTAAAATCCCCCTCTTAACTCAGCTATTCCTCCAGATGTTAACCAATCTGTTTTCCCAGACAGTGATCTTATTAGGAATTCCTTTGCAATCCAGCCAATTAAGAAGTTTCTTCAACACCAAGCTGGAATACTTACATTGGAAAAACAGGTGGTCAAGTGTTTCATCTTCTTCTGAGCATAAACAACACAACAAAGGTTGCCTAATCATCCGCAACCTGATCAATCTATCAGAGGTGAGAAGTCTCCTTTTCAAGGCCAACCATAGGATGCGGCAATGCTTTGGAATATTATATCTATTCCAATCTATGGCAGCACCTTTCATTTTAATTCTAGGACCCCTAAGCCATTCATATCCAGCCTGAACAGAGTAGTGACGACTCTTCCCGTCTAACCATCTACCTTGACTCACATTAAGTTTAAGTAGCTCTTTAACCTGAATCAGCTGCTTCCAGTACCAAGGTACTCCCTGCCCAGGCTCATAATTCCAGAAATTTTGTCCCTTTTAAGTAGTATTCATGACACCACTTAACCCACAGATTGTCCTTCTTCTCTGCTAAGTCCCAAATTTGCTTACCTAGGGCTGCCTGGTTCCAAATGAATGGCTCTTTAAAGTTTAATCCCCCCTGCTTTTTAGGCCTACATAGCTCATCCCAGGCTACAAGAGGAAATGCTTTTCCATCTCTTTCTTCCCCCAAAGAAACTCTCTACAGATTCTAACCACTTGAGTAATAATACTCTTAGGCAACATGAAAATTGAGGCCCAATATATATGTAAAGTCAAGAGAACCGCATTAGCTAACACAACCCTCGCAGCGTAGGATAGGTGTCGGGATGTCCAGCACTTAACCTTAGCTGCTACCTTTTCTACCAGAGTGTGGCAATCAACTGCACTCCATTTTTGAGTAGAAATCGGCACCCGCAAATACTTTATTGGAAAAGCTCCTCTATTGAAACCGATAATATCCTGTATTTTCTGTCTTTCTTCTTCATTAACACCTCCACAATACACATGCGATTTACTCTGGTTAGCTTTTAAACCTGACGTAGCAGAAAATTCTTATAACACTTTATTGACCCTCCTAACAGTCAACTGATCAGCCCTACATAAGATTATCAAATCATCAGCAAAGCTGAGATTTGTAATCTGTAATCTTTTACATTTAGGGTGAAAGTGAAACCCCCCCAAACTAATCTCATACTTAAACAAACGACTAAGATACTCCATACAAAGAACAAATAACAAAGGCGATACAGGATCACCCTGTCTAATGCCTCTTTTCCCTTCAAAAAAACCTGATAATCCTCCATTCATACAAAGCGAGAAGCTACAAGTAGAAATACATTCAAAAATCCAAGCAGTGAACTTACTTGGAAATCGATAAGCTGCCAACACCTCAGTCACAAAGGACTAGGAAATAGAGTCGTATGCTTTTTGGAGGTCCACCTTCATAAGGCAACGCGGTGAAGCATTCTTTCTGTTGTAGAGATGCATCATCTCCTGCGTAAGTAAAATATTATGAATAATCAGCCGGTCTTTGACGAATGCTCCCTGATTCTGCTCAACCAAGTCTGGCAGCACCACAGAAAGGCGATTACTAAGAATCTTGGTAATACACTTATACAGGGTATTACAGCAAGATACATGATGATATTCTGCTGCTGATTGTGGACTGTCATTTTTAGGAACCAACGCAATCATTGTCGAATTAATCTTCTTCAAGATTCTGCCTATGCTGAAAAATTCTTACACCGCTTTGCAGGTACTTGTCTCCACAACATCCCAGGTTCTTCTGTAAAAACCCTATTAAATCCGTCTGGACCGGGACTCTTCGATTCTTCGATAGAGAAGATGGCTTGCTTTACCTCCTTATCAGTCACTTCTTTTACTAGTTCAAGTTGTTCAACTGTCAGCAAAGGGCCTTCTTCACAGATTTCCTTCCTGACTGGGATCCTTTCTTCAGTTTTTCCAAGGAGATTCCTGAAAAAACCTAAAAAATGGCTCTCAATCTTCTGCCATTCTTCCACCACTTGCCCACCCTCATCAGTGTAAGAAAGTAGTCTTTTCCTTTTCTGCTTCTTCCTCAGTACTGCATGAAAATAAACAGTATTAAGGTCCCCCTGCTGCAGCCATTGTTCCTTCATCTTTTGCTGCCAAAAGCTATAAACCTTAGCTTCTACTGCTATATATTTCTGAATTAGTTCCTTTTCTTTATGATGTAACTCTTCACTCTGTGGCGTATCCTGTAATTGTTTTTGCACCAGCTCCAGTTGCAGTTTACAATCAAGTGTCTGCTGGTCTATATTTGCAAAGTTCCTGCGATTTAGGTCTTTAAGGAGGGGTTTCAGCTTACTTTGCTTCTGCACCAGTTGGAATTGCTTAGTTCCTCTTACATCTTCCTGCCAAGTTCTTGCCACTATATCTTTATACTCTGGATCACTAGTCCACGTTAAAAAAACTGAAATATTTCCTTGTCCTGCAATCATTATACGCCCACCTGGCCACTAGGGGACAGTGATCTGAGACCCCCTCAGGTTGAACTATGGCATAACTCTCTCCAAAACGCAACATCCATTCATCATTAACTAATACCCGATCAAGCTTCGCATAGATTCTCTGATTTCCAACCTGTTTATTATTCCATGTGAATGGACCTCCTGCGTTTTCAACTACCACAAGTTGCATTCATCAATTGTCATCTTGAACTCACCTATATCTGCAAGAGTCACAGGCAAGCCCCCCAAATTCTCTTCTGAATTTACCACAGAATTAAAATCACCTGCCATAATCCACACCTCTTTTATCCCTTGCCCCACCTGCTGCAACTGATTCAACAAGATGGTTCTTTCACACTTCGTATTGGCACCATATACAACTGTTAAAATAAACTTCCTTCTATTAAGTCTATCCTCCACTTCACAGTATAGGAATTGCTCCTCATTCTGCAACACCTTCACCCTTATATCATCTTCTTCCACATAAGGACAATACGGTTTTGTCCCCCATTCGTACTGTTACCTTGAATTTCATATTCTGTCCAATGACATTTCATATACTCTGCTAACTTTTCATCTTTCATCTTTACTTCTACCACTCCAATTATACTTGCATAGGTTGATGAGACTAATTGTTTTAGCTCTCTTTCTTTCAGGGGACTATGCAAACCCCTTATATTCCAAACGATGATATTATTTATAGGGATAGTCCCTGTAATAGCAGCCTGCTTCCCCTCCTTCCTAGTCCAAATTCTGTAATCAGTAACCGGATTACCATTATATTGCTCAGCTTTCACCTGGTTCCCCTTGATGACACCCTCCTCACCCTTATCAGGTGCTGATACAGTCGCTGTATCAGGTTGAACAGGGTTCTGGACTGCTTTAAGAGCCCTTAACAGCCACTGTATCAGGTTGAGCAGGTTTCTGGACTGCTTTAGGAACCCTAACAGCCACTGTATCAGGTTGAGCAGGAACTTTAAGCTCCCTAACAGCTTTTTGTTTCTGTCTACAAATTACTGCCTCATGGCCATACCCTTTACACTCTTCACACCTAATAGGTTTCCAATCGACTCTATCTTCTGCTCCTGAAGGATCCCTATCTCATCCTCTGATCCTCATACCACAATTGGTCCGGCAGCTTATCCCCAATTTGCATTTCAACCAGCAGCCTAGCGAAACCAATCCTCTGCTTGTTTCCTGTCAGTTCATCCATTTGTAATGGCTTACCAACAGTCCTAGCTAGACAACTGAGAGACCTAGGGCTCCAGTACTTTAACGGAAGCTCTGGGAGTTTAATCCAGACAGACACTCTTAGAATTTCATTAGTTTTAAAGCCCTCCTTTATAGACCAATCCTTGATGATTAGTGGCTTATTATCTAGGTGGTCGTGACTACCCAGGACAGCATGCTTCCCTTCTACACAGTTGAAACGTACCACATAGACACCATTATCAAGCAAAATCACCTTATCAACCCCAAACCTTCCCCAAACCTGTCTGATAAAACCATTCATAACTCTGCAAGGGGGATGACCACCCTGCACGTAACAGACAAGTGAAGATTGCCAGTAAACTATCTCATCTTCAACATCTTCAACCCTCATTTTAGCAATTTTCTTATTCGTTATTACTTGGGGATCAACATAGTCAAGTTTAACATGAACTGTACGAATTTTATCAGGATATTTGGACCAGTTAGGGTCACCAGTCTTGCACCCTAATTCCTCATGCTTCCTTTCTAATTGACTACCTGATTCAACAATCTTTCGATTACACATCTCTTCTACCATCAGATTAGCCTTATTAGACAAGGAATCAGAAGAAGAATTAGCACCTCTTATCGGAGTGCAAAGCCCTAACTCAGTACCAAGACCCGATTTGATTCCAGAGGCTTCACCAGATTCAGCCACCGCCGGCCTTCTCACCTTCACCGGAGCTCGAACGCCCACTTTCTTACCCTTAGCTTGTCTTGCCATAGCAGATACAGATGTATCGACTAGCTTGAGCAGAAGAGCAGACGTTCAGACGGAGCGAATTTTCACGACCTTTTCTATTCGGCAGTGAAAATATAACTTTTTAATACCATAAAAATATAAATTTGAAACTACACAGTAAATGTTATTGTAAAATGTTGTAAATTTTATTATGGTACATGATATTTTTTATTTGTAAAAATATGAGTAACATATCTCTTAAAAATAAAATTAAACTCTTTGATAATATGGTTTTCAGTTGTCAAAAATCTACAAAATATTGATGAGACAAAATTAAAAAGTTGATATGCAAGTTATTTCAATAAAAAAAATGATATTCAGGCTATCTCTAATATTAAATATTTTTAAGCATTTAATGTATTTGTTCCGATAATTTCATTTCGCACCCCGTATGGTGGAATGCTAGCTCCGCCACTGCCGCCAAAATAAACCTACTTAAATGATTTCACAGGGACGGGTGAAACTCCAATAACTCCAAATGATTCGACTCAAACAACAAGAAAACATGAAAATAGAAAAGATAGACGACTAGCTAAAGTAAGAAACTGACGTAGCTAAGTGTTCTGGAGTTCCTAATCCACTATTCTCTCTCTAACTTCTTATTCTGGTTGCTATGTTTGTGGTATAAAAGTGTGTTCATTTATGCACGATTACACTGTAAGGGCACTCATAATATTCCAAACAGAGTTCTAGTAGCAACAAGCCCACTTACTCACGTTATTGACTCCATAATATTACTAAACCATTAAGTTCTTAAGTCCTTATGATTGCCTCGTGCCAAACAACTAACTTCTGTTGTTGTCTGAAACCTTAGGTTACTACCCCTTTGTCACTGGCTAATACTAGACATTCTAAGTTAAGTTTACCCTCATAGGTCTCCCCTAACATGCATGCACAATTGACTAGTTGATCATGCTAATCAAAAAATTAATCGAAATTCTAGTACTAGGCACACAAATATCATCTAAGCACAACCATGTATAATAACTAGAGAGATTTAATGGATTAAGAACCCATAAAAAGTTTAGCTACTCATGTCCTTGACTACATCTGATATAACATTGATCAGTATAGCCAAAGACATGATTACAAACAAGAAAAGACACAAAAGAAAGAAAACAGGAGAAGGAAGCGAAACTTCTACTGTTGTTGTAGGCTGGCTACTTGGGCAAGTGACTTTGTCACTTCCCCAAGTAGCCACCCATAGACGCAACCTACTACTTCTCTTACACTCTCTCTACTGTGAATCTATCTACGGGTCTCTCTTTTCTCTCAATTTGGTCTCCCCCTTTTATTCCCCCTTCCTGCTGCTGCTCTTTTTTCTTTTATAGACGGTAGAGGAAGTAAACTCGCCTAGTGAGGTTAATCTCCTCTTTGTTCATTGGACTAAGACTAAAGTGGAGAGACACATACCTTCCTCACCTTCTCTCTTATCTTTGACTCTGATTTTGCAGCCATCTAATCCTTCCTTTGCAGCCCAAATCAGCAACTTTTCAGCATCTCCATGCTTCCTTGTCTTCCTTAGCCTTGAAGGCTTGATTAGTTTCAAGCTTCCTTAGCTTCCAAAGCTTCCAAGGTTGCTCTTCTCTTCTCGTCCATGTGCTACTATTGCTGGTTCCTTTTGCTTCTTTTGAATTGCAGAGTCAATCTAATTGGGTCTTTTCGATTGCTGCCCAAAACTTTACCAATTTGCACAGATTTGCTTACATTTTATCCATATTTGTAATTAAGTCCCTTCATCACCAAAAGTCATAAAATCTATTTAGAAACATCTAATTCCTAACTAAAAACTATTATTACAACTAAGAAATAAGCAAATTAAGCATGCTTTCAGATGTATAATTTGTCTCACATCATAGCCCCATAGTCTACAACCCACTCTTTGACATTGGCTGCAATGTTCACTTCAGAAATAACGGCAGCAATTATTTCATCTCCTTCGACCATATTAGCCTTAGGAGGATTCACTTTGGTGTCCTTATTTCTCTTTATCTGCCTAAACTCAGTAACATGGTGATTTGCTTTTCCACAAAAAAAAAAAACAATTGCCTCTACTCTTCTTAAAATTGGGATTATTAGGCTTGTAATTTTTGGACTTGTTATCGTACCTCTTGTTGCTTTGCACCAAGTTTGCTTTGAGCGCCATCTCATTGGCTTTGGCAGTTTTTCATTCCTTCCTGTTAGTATCTTCGATCAGGATGTGCCTCACCAACTCTTCGGCTGTGAAATTCTTCTGTTCGTGCTTCAGGTTGTTCTCGTACTCACTCAACGAATTTGGAAATTTTTAGTACTCCAGCAACAAACTTCTCAAGTAGCACAATGTCTTCAGCCTTCAAATCCTTGAGCAGCTTCTGATATTCGTTGAGTTGAGCCTTCATCTCTTTCTCTTCAATCATCTGTCATTGGTAAAATTTTCCAACGACAAACCTTTGGTTTGTAGCATCTTCAGCGGTGAACTTTTTGATTAATGCGTCTCAGATGGATTTGGCTACTTTGTAGCTATAATACACATCAAATAGCTCATTACAAAGAGTTTGCAAAATGGTGTGACGATATACATTATTGGTATGTTGCCACGATTCTTGAATCTTGCTATCAACAATTGAGTCGGGTTGGGCATCAGTCAAAGCATAGGCAACTCCATGGATGTCGAGCAAGAAAAAGACACGTTCTTGCCACCGCTTGAAATTTTCAATGGCAAAAACTTCAATTTTTGAAACATCGAAGAAAAGGTTTAGCTTATGTTAAACATATAGGGACCGATGGTGGAGCTGGTACAACAACTGTGGATTGCGCAATATCAATATTGATAATTACATCAACATTGGTGGTATTAGGATGGCCAGAAGTAATAATTTCTTAAGATTGTTAGGAAAATGTTGGGCAAATGTTAATGCAAAAACAATAAATAAAATAATACTTGAGTCGCACTAAAAAGCGTTTCCCTTAAGAAACTATTCCAATGGTATTAAAATATCACCCCAAGATTAAACAAGCCTTCCTCCTAATGATAGAGGGAATAAGAACAGCTAAAATATTAAATCATCAATGAGAATGAAAAAGAAAGGTTTTTCTTTTGAAAACCTTAAAAGAAAAATGGCTTTCAAGCCTATAATTTGCCAAATTAAAGAAAGCTAATGAAGAAAGAAAAAGGACCGAGAAAGAGAAGGATTTGGTGCACTATGGAGAAATGAAATGGTCTCCTATTTATAGTACAATTTTCGGCTGTTAGTGGAACAAGAGAATCAAGGAAGTTGATTTTATTTTATCCAAAAATATCGCACATTGGGAATTATTTCAGCAACACCAAAGAGACTTTTTCTTCTCTTGATTTGGTATTAAATTTTATCCAAACTATGAGTAGTAAAACACAACCAAGTCGGACTTTAATTTTCATTATCAACTTAGTAAAAATACATATTAAAATCTTTTTGAAATCTATTTGTTCTATACAACAGTAAATTCATCGAGTGGCTGACCTTTCTTTGCTTCTCTTGACTCAAGGAACAACTCTAACTTCTTTCATTTTCTTCCCTTTTCCTTAGAAAGCTATAAGTAAATTATAAGAAAGACAGTAGCAAAGAAAACAAAAACGAAACAAAGAAAAGGGAAGCAACATGTGTGTATAGTGTAAACTCATCACCTTATGTGCAAGATTATGGGTATCCATGCTCCCGTGTTTTTGTGGAAATTTCAACAATTTTCGGCTCCTTCGATTTTGTTTGCTCCGTTTCTGCAATTCAAACATTGAAACAAGAGTGTTCAATTAAATATTTATGAACCAAAAGAAATATACAGTCTTAAAACATCATAAGGAAACAAATCAAATATTATCTGTTATGTCAACCATCACTTTTTCATGACTCCAATACTTAATCAATGTTGGCCATTGATTCTCTTCCACTTTATCTGGACAATGTGCAAGCAAGTATGGTCATTCTTATATGGGAGATAGAACTTTCGTTTTGTATTTATGATCCTTCCAAAGTTTGCTAAGTCTCCTCAAGCATGTTTTCTTGTAAACATCAGTAAGATTTGTCTTTTGATGCAATGAAAATATTGAGAGGATGCATCATATGATTGTTATAGTTACCTAATATGTAGAAAAAATTATGCAAACAAAGTTCTCAAAACAAATTCTAAAGCAAACATAACACCTTCACCTCACACCGTACATCATCCTTATTCGGATCTGGCATCATTTGCCAATCAACGTCGGTAAAGAGTAGCTTGTGACCTCTTGCCAAAACGTCCAGCTGATTTGCAAAATCAAAGGCATAACCCCAACCACTTGATTTTTTTCGTTTAACTCCAGCATCATAAAATTTCCAGTACCTATTGAAACATAGGCTTTGTTTAACCTCTGTGAGTCGTTCCTCTCAATTTTAATAAACAAATGAGACAAAAATTAAACAAATGTTACATCTTAATATGTAAAAGAACATACATTTTTCATGTGAATCATCACTACTTTCATGTGACTCATTATCACTATCACCATTATCATCTTCGGAGGTGTGAGAAGAGTCAGAATTGGTATTTGAGGCAAACTCATGATCCTCAAAACCATTCATTGAACCATCTTGCATCTGGGACCTACTTGTTGTTGCCTCATGGTGATGATTATGGAATATATCAAACATTGAGCAAACAAGACGTTGAGATTTCTTCGGATGCTGTGACATTGTAACTGTAATTGTAGATTTGGAAGACAAATCTATTATATCCAAATATATAAAACTACACTTAAATAAAGTAGTGATTTACTTTGAAATAAGATGGTCTATTGTAAAGAGATAAACTACCATAATCTATCAGAGCAACTTTTGCACTAAATATGCTTTCATAACATATACCATTTAAAAAAATAAAAATAAAATAAAAAAAAGAAAAAAAATCAACGGCAAGAAGCTATGTTGAAGATTACACGAACTTCAGATTTCAGGATGAGAAAAATAAACTCAAAATTTGAGCAAACAAAAGTTTGAGAAAACTAAAAGATATGCACTTTCAAAAATCCATCAAGTTCACTGGCATCAACAGATATGTTCATTTGGATCCACAGCTAATATAATTACAACTTTGAAACAAATAGTGTAACACATATATAACAATCTGCCAAACTAAGTCAATGATATCCAATTACCTGTGAGATCCTTTCCCCTTTTTTTTTATGCAAAGTCAAATATGAGCAAAGATGAATGAGAGGAGATTTGATAAATAGTAAAAAGCAGGGGATAAAGAGAAATTGCTTAAAAGATGTAGACTAGAAAACAACAATCACATCAAGGGGAAGTTATTTGCGGGAAATTTTTAGGGATAAGTGAGAATAGTGGGAAATAAACTCTTTTTATAATTTAATTATAAAATTATTGGCTTAGAAAATTACAATGTCATTTCTCATTTTTCTTTGTTTTTTAATGCAAACAATGTCATTTATCTCTTACAAAACTTAATAAGTAAATAACTAAGATTTCATCCCTTTTTTCCAACCACAAGAGTACGAACACGAAAACTCGCTATCAAAGTAGTTAAATATGCATAAAACATGATATTATTAGTACATAAAAAAGGCCTAATGTAATTACTAATAATGTAATATAAATTTATGATACTCAGCCTCTTATATTATCACAGGAACTCATGCTAATTAGTCTTTAATAACTCTTTTAATAGTAGTTAGCTAAATTACTACAATTTCAACACAATTCTTACTACCTTTTTTTAATTTAGATTTTAGCCAAAACCATGATCGACACCAATGAAATTTCCAAGATTAATATTATAATGCGGTCGAGTTATATCTTTCATTTCTATAAATCAAACATCATATGAAAAGATAGATCCTAGATTGCATGAATCATTCAATTCTAACTATCATGCATGTCAATGTAAAAGGGGAACATGACAACTTTTTTTTTTCCTAAATTACCTTTTCTTTAGTCTTTTCCTTCTCATTTCCTTTTGCTTCTAATTATTCCTAGCATTTGTTCTATGTATTCCTTTGTTAGCTAAACTTGAATTGGTAATGTTTAATTAATGACTAATTTAAATTAATTGTGCGTGGCATTGGAATTTGCATGGTGGCCAGGGGTGATATGAAGATTTTGAGTGAGAGGAACTAGTCAATTTAGAGTCTTTATTTGTTCTAAATTTCATGGTTTTTTTAAAAAAAATTTTTTCTAATTTATTGGTTACAAATCATAAAATTTGTCAAAACTATATCATGATAGATATATCTTTTATTTTTTTTTTTGTGTGAGATGTTTTGTTTTAAAGTAAAATTTGCTATTACGAAAAAATACAGATGGACAAAAATCGTAGATTTATATAGAAGACTGGGTTAATGATCAGGCAATCAGATAAGGAGTATTGGACTTTCTTAAGTTTGTATACACAAACAGGCAACCGGTTTTAAAATAAGAGTGAACCTCAAAACAAGTCATCAACCTTTAATATATTTCCACTCTAGATCATCAATTAAATTTATTTGTAACACAGGTTACCTTATTAAAGTTTTAATCCATTTCAGATTATTCTATTAATTTTGACCATCAAATAGTGACGGAAATCCATTTTTCACATGTTTTTGAGTTCAGGGGTATTTTTGTCATTTTATTATTTTTTTTATTTTTTGATCTTTTAAATTTTTTTTTTACAATTTTTTTTCTTATACATTCAAACTTGTATACACTGGTAGTATAATTCTATATTTTAAAAATTTATTTTCCTTTTGTATTTTAATTTCTAGATTATAAAAATTTTAAAAAAGAATTTAAGAAGTAAAGAAGAAAAATTCGAGTTAAAGTAAACATGAAAATTAATAATTTAACATTTTAAACAAAAAGAAAAACTAAAAGAATTAGCTAAGACAAGTTGTTTCTTTTAGGTTATTTAATTTTTTTCAACTCGATTGAATTATTTAATTATTAATTTTCATGTTTCTTATTCCTTTCTTTTTAATAATCTAGAAGTTAATATAAATGAAAAATTAAAAAAATAAATAAGAAACGTGAAAATTAATAATTAAATAATTCAATTGAGTTGAAAAAATTAAATAACCTAGAAGAAACAACTTGTCTTAGCTAATTATTTTAATTTTTCTTTTTGTTTAAAATGGTAAAATATTAATTTTCATGTTTACTTTAACTCGAATTTTTCTTCTTCATTTCTTAAATTTTTTTAAAAAAATTTTATAATCTAGAAGTTAAAATACAAAAGGAAAATAAATTTTTAAAATTTAGAATTATACTACCAGTATATACAAGTTAGAAAGTATAAGAAGAAGAATTATAAAAAAAAAAAATTTGAAAGATTAAAAAATGAAAAAAAATGAAAATGACAAAAATACCCCTAAACCCAAAAACATGTGAAAAATGGATTTCCGTCACTATTTAACGGCCAAAATTAACAGAATAATCTGAAATGGATTAAAATTTTAGTAAGGTAACATGTGTTACAAATAAATTTAATTGATGACCTAGAGTGGAAATATATTAAAGATTGATGACTTGTTTTGAGGTTCACTCTTAATAAAGTGTCCATGTGTTAGTTGTAGTAACTCTAGAAAGCTTGTGAGGGACGATGTTCAAATTTTTAGGTTTGGTTCTCTTTAAATTACACCAACCAGATTCATCATGAGGAAGGGGAAAAAAAAAAAGCAAAGTGATCAAAATTTAACTAGCTCTTCACAAAATAAATAGCAACTAATGGCATGTGAGATTTGATATGTGAAGGACTACATGCTTCCTATGGTGGAACTCATCAAAATTTTGGGCATATGGATGATAATTGAATATTCAAGCATAGGTGAAAGACCACCCTGAGAAGAATTTAATGAAGAGACTGATAAATTTTTTAAAGTTTTAAAGCACGTGGAGACTTAGTTATTTCTTTGTTGCAAAAGTTTCACATTGTTGTCTTTCATTGTGCATTTGTTGCAGGTCAAATCACTTTCTCGATGAAGTAACAATTCTTTTACAATGTTGTTAGAAGCATTAAAGGAGGCATTTCAGAGTGATATATTTCCATGCTCCTATCGAGAAGCTTGGAAAATCTGTGAAGGAGTTAGGTCTTGAGTATAATGAGATCCATGCTTGTCGTAATGGCTTTATGATTTATTGGAAGGAGATAGAAAACGATGACAAGTGTAAGCACTGCAAAACTTCAAGATATAAGAGATTTGGTGGGCAAGATGAGGATTCATGCAAAAGGAAGAAAAAGACTCCAGCAAAGCTAATTTGTTACTTTCCTTTAAAGCCTAGACATCAGAGATTGTTTATGTCTTTAAAAACAGTTTCATTAATGAGATGGAATGCTGAAGAACGCGCGGATGATGAAAAACTTAGGCATCGTGCTGACTTTCAAGCTTGGAAATGTTTTGATCAAAAGAACCCAAGTTTTGCAACTGATCGTCGCAATGTTAGACTTGGACTAGCAGCTGGTGGGTTTAATCCGTTCAAATCAATGAGCATTGCTCACAGTACCTGGCATGCCGTTCTGATTCCTTATAGTCTCCCTCCTTAGATATGTATGAAGCAACCATCAATTATATTGTCTACACTTATTGATGGTCTTCAAGGTTCAGGGAATGACATTGATGTTTATTTGCAACCTCTCATTGACGACCTAGAAGAATTGAGGAATCCCAGAGTTACTACTTATCATCCATCCCAAAAATGTATGTTCCAGCTACGTGCTACATAGCTTTGGACAATTAATGACTTTCCATCTTATGCAAAACTTTCTAGTTGGAGTACAAAAGGTGCCTATGCATGTCATTATTGCAATAAACATCCTCAATCTCGTTGGTTGAAACATGGATTCAAACATTGTTATATAGGGCATCGTCGATTCCTTAAGGCCACTCACAAGTTTTGCATAGATTCAATTCATTTTGATGGCTAGGTGGAAAAATCTCCTAAACCTAAGAGACTATCTAGTACAGAAATTTGAAAGTAGGTATATGGCATGGTGAATCAATTTTGGGAAGATGGTAACTACTACAACAGGGAAAAAAGAAAAAGGGTACAAGTAAATGATGGTTCAACATCAATATGTCTTATACAATTGGAAAAAGAAATGTATATTCTTTGAACTGTTATATTGGAAAGAAAATCTTATTCATCAAAATCTTGATATTATGCATATTGAGAAAAACTTTTTGGAAAATCTCTTGTGGACATTGCTTGGAGTTAAAGGCAATGTTAATTCCCGATTAGATCTTCAAGAAATAGGAATTCGAAAGTCACTCTACCCTCAGAAAAAAGGTGACAAGTATTATTTGCCCATTGCTTGTTTCACAATGAGCAAAGATGAGAAACATATTCTCTTGAAAGTATGTGAAAGTGCCAGATGGTTTTGCATCAAATATATCAAAATTTGTTCATTTGGTGGAGCGAACTGTGTTCGGGCTGAAAAGTCATGATTGTCACATATTGACACAACAATTGCTTTCTATTGCCCTAAGCAATGTGATAGATGATGTATGTGATATCTTCAAACAACTATACTCAAAAGTGAATACCATGACTGACTTTGAAGCTTTGGAAGATCGAATTGCATTAACTATTTGTGAATTGGAAAAAATATTTCCTCCTTCATTTTTTGATATTATGGAGGATTCACCCGTTCACTTAGCTGAAGAAGCAAGCTTGCTGGACAGGTTCAGTTTCATTCTACGTAT